AGGCCCTGTTAGGCTACACAGAGGAACTGTGTCTGTTATCAGGGAAGCAGAGGAAAGTGAGGACAGGTCTGTGTTTTTGTCCAAGTGAAAGGAATTGCTGAGAGTGTGACTCTGCTGTCACTGTGTTGCGGTGCCTCTGCCTTGATTTCCCTGGGGAAGGACATCAGTCTGCACAGGAAGATGAAGTCCCAGAGGACCCTTGAAATCTTTCCCATTGACACACCCAGAACGTGAGAAGGCAACCAGATTATTTTTAAAATTAACTTATGGATATTTTTTCCTGATTACAGAAGAAACATGTAAATAATGGCAAGCTACTTGGCAAACAGAAACACAAAGATGGAAGTAAAAAGCTCCAGATGATGGCTGTTAACATAGTGGTGTATTTCCTTCTATTCTTTTTTCCTTTAAGTAGTGGCTTGAGGCTATGTGAACGATCTGTGCTTAAGATCTATCCTTTTACTTTAATTATATGTCGTCAGACGCTCTAAGACTTTAGGATTGCTTTAAATTTATTCCCATAATTTTCCCTGAGCACACAGGATTGTTTTCTCCTTTGCTCTTTTACCTCTTCTTGTAGGTGGGAGCTCAAATAGAATCGATTTTTGTTAGGACCTTGGTGCCACTACCCCACGTTTGTGCAAGTCACCATCAGCCGCCCCCCTCTGCTAAACAACAATATAACTTCAAAGGCCTGTGTTCCTGGGTCCCTTCCAAACCCATCTTCTAGGTAATCTTTTAAAGGCATGAATCTGCTCTCATCCTTCTTTGCTGGTTATCCGTTGCATTTAGAATAAGTTAGAAAAGCCCCCGCCTGCTCACAATTTCCAACCGTACATGCCTTCTTTCTCCTTTGGACCACCTCAAAACACCAGGACAGCCTCACATGGCTCTCCAGCTGGTTTACCTGGACTCAGCCCTCAGGTCTCAGCATAGATGCTGCATCCTTGGAGAAGTCTTTTCTTGACTCTGGCCCCCATGATGGACCTTCCATACTCCCTTGCTTTTCTTTCTTAATACTTATCACAGTGTGTAATTATGTACTTATTTATTACATAATGCTTGTTTCCCTGTATCTGAGTCGGTTTTGTATTGCTATAACACAAACCACAGACTGGATAATTTACAAAATACAGAAGTTTATTTTTCATGGTTCTGGAGATTGGGAAGTCCACTATCGAGATGTCGGCAGAGTCTGGTGAGGGCTTCATGCTGCATCATAACACAACAGAGGGCATCTCGTGACAAAAGAGTGCATGAGTGTAAGAGGGCAGGAGCAAGGGCCCTGAGGAGGCTGAACTTGCTTCTGTAATAAAGCCACTCCTGACAATTAACCTAAACCTGTGATAACAATCTAACCCAGTCACCAGCCTCATGACCTGATCACCTCTTGAGAGGCCTACCATCCCTTTGAAGGGAAAGCGAGGAACAAAATATGGACAAGTGAGAAATGAAAGAGAGAGACCAGGCAGAGATACACACCAGAGTTTGTTTTTCAGAGCTGACAAATAAAGGCCATCTCTTTAAAGCAGAGAGAGGCAAAACAGGATTGGGTTCTGGGACTTTTATGGGGCAGGCTCAGGAATCGGAGCCCAGGGGGTCCTAATGCAGGTGGTTAGGGGTTGGGTTGGTAGGAGGGAGTGGTGAGCCTTTCTCAGAAATGCCCTTGGGCAGGAAAGCAGAATTTTTTTTAAAATGGGTCTGTCACTTAAGGTAACTGTCCAGATGCTAAGCAAGGACCTTATACCAGCACTCTCACAGTGTCAATTAAATCTCCATGTGATTTTTGGAGTGGGCAATCAACCTTAGCACCCTGATGGATTTGCAGGTCCCTGAGAAAGAACAGATCTGTTTTGCCAACTGCTGTACCCCACTCTTGCTGCCATCTCTGATGATTCAGCTCCTGTCCTTACCTCCCCACCTTCAAATACAGTTCCTGTCATAGATTATGTGTTTATTTAACACTTGAATGAATGAATCTGGTGCTTATCTGGAGCGGTTGCTTAAGTGAAGAGTCCCACCATTATAGCATGTTGGTTTCAGAGGTCTAGGGAGATAGCGTAGTTTTCTGGTAAACCTGATGTGAGCAGATATTATATTTGCTGTTGTTGGTGGGTATCTCAAAGGTGCATGGCATATAGTGCTTTCTGATTGTGGTGAGGCCTCAACTTGAATTGTTGGTGCTAAGGTGCTCATGTGTGTGGGAGCCGAGTTTCTGGGCTGGTGAGGAAGACAGTGTTTCAGTGAAGAGTCTGTTCCTTGGTGTGGCTTCTCTACTCTCTATTTCTCATGTCCTGGAGGAGAATTCACTGTAGAGCATTTCTGGCTTTGTCTGAGGCTCTGGGATTGAACTTCTCCATGGAACAGAGCTCTCTGCCTCTGTATGAGCCTGGTGAACTCCTCTGGCTGTGAGATAGAACTTCTCTAAGTTAAAGACAGATTTACCTTCCTTAGGACCTTTAACTATTGATTGCCTTCTGTCCTCTGGACAAACATCAAGTTCATTCAATGGCCATTTATTGAATACTGGCATGATATACATCAGGAGGGGTGCCAGGAACTGGGTATAGAGAGCTGAACAAGGCACACTTGAAGAGCTCAGCTTGGGGACACCAATTACAGTTCACAATGCACTATCAAATGATCATCTTGATTTGTCACAATGACCTTGTGATGTGCGGTCATTGGGTGACTTTACAGTTGAGGAACAGGAGGCCGAGAGAGTTTGCACGTGAGGGGCAGTATAGCTCAATCCAAGTGCTTTGACTCAGATCCCATGTGAACTTTTACTTCCTGAACTTGACAACCTGAATGCACTTCTGCTTCACGCAGCTCTTAGTGTGGGAGACCAACCTTACACATGACTGGGTCACACTCCCTGGCTGGGTGCTGAGGCACTCAGTAGCAGAAATGTGGCAGAGCTTTCCCCACCCTTCTTGGGTGTGAGGGTCGCTGTCTCGTGCATGGGTGTGTCTTGCTACAGCCCCATGGGTGAAGTTACGCTCACCCGCTCACCCGTTCCTTTGTAATATTACCCCTTGCCCTGTTTAGGATAGAATCTTCCATGGAAGTGCCTTGTGTGTGTCCCCTTCTCTTACTGTGCCTTTGGGTGTGGCCTACCCAGGTGTCAGTCAACCTGCTGACAGTGGACATCATGAAGATACTCAGCCCCCTGAAACCTGACCCCTTGCCTCATTTGAATAACTTCCCTCAATAAAAGGGGTCAGCATGTGCGCTCGCTCTCTCTCTCTCTCTCTCTCTCTCTCTTCCTGCGGACCCATAAGGTCAGAGGAGCCGTCACAGCGACCCCAAAGAAAAAGCTATTTGTTTCTCTTGAGTGGTTATTTTGCACAGCCCAGTTAGCCCAGTTTAACTGGAGTGACCCCTGAGCCTTTTAGTCATGAGCACAGAAACCCGGCATCTTAGTACATTCAAATGTAGCTACCATGCTCCCTGAATCACCTCTTCTCCTGACAAACTTGACTCCAAAACATGTGATCATACTCAGCGTATCTTCTTTGGACCCAATCACATGGAGATAGGCTTGGGAGTTGCAGAGGGTCCTGGCCACTATCCCCCATTCTTTCATCTGTGAGCCAAGAGGGTCTCAGCCTTGCCCACGGGACTCTGAAGGAGAATTCGGTGGCTCTTCTTTCTGGGCAATAAGGCTGGTGCCTGGGATTTTTATTCCAGGACAATTTAAGCAGTTCTTTCCCATTAGTGAACAATGTTAGACATACAGATTTCTGGGGCTGGATGTCTGACACTTAGACATCTCACTAAATGGTTTAGTGGTTCACATTACAGGGTACTCATGACCCGCTGAGGAATTTCACTCCAGTACAGAGAGATCTATTAGATTTTTGCCTTCACATATAAGGAAAACAATCTCTGTTTCTTTGTGGCTTCCTCTGACTGGTCTTCTGGTAGCTGGGCCACGTAAACACAGTGCCTCCGCACCCTGGCAGGCTGTTACATATTAAGTGTGCAGGGAGCCCCAGCTTAAGCCCAGGCCTGGCCTGGACATGTCTGAGCAGGCCTGGTGAACTGCAGCGTGGGCCTGTTAGGAGCCTGTGTGTACCACAGGCTGTGGGGCCTCCTGGGAAAGATATCATCTTGAAGGAAGAAGGAACCAGGCACACACACCTGACCTGCAAACCAAGCTTTGATTGCAGGAGGAAAGGAGCAATTCTGAGCACGTCCTGGTGAATTGTTCACGATTGGATTCACCCCACACTTTGGCCCCTGCTGGACTTCTTGGGAGGCCTGTGGAGAGGAAAAAGAGGACTTCTGTTTGTATCTTATTTCAAAATCAAGTCCCTGAACTTATTCCCCAGTGACTGCTTTGTGCAAGCTGAAACCATGACATGATTTCCATGGAACCTGTAGTTCTTTGGTATCCCAGGCCTCCAGCACCTCTGAGATGGCAGGGATGGCAGCACCCAGCCCATTATCTTGCAGGGGACCTGCAGCAAACCACGGGGGAGGAAGCAAATGGCAGGTGACCAGAAAATGAACTGTGTGTGGCGTGAGGAGACATGGGGACACCCTGTAGGCACTAAGGAACATTGGGAGGTACTTATAAGGGGCTGATGCCCTGAGGGAGTCAATGAAAGTCATGTCATTGTCATCCATTGGATCATATGCTACTGGGACAAGGCCTGGGAGGACCATCATGGCCTGCTATCTTTTTTTAGCTGAATGTCCCCCAGAACCCACAACTCTGTTCTCTGACAGTCTTGTTCCTCCTTTTTTTTTGAATCACTCCAGGCTGTGAAAGCCGACACCATTTGCTCCAAGGTTTTTAAAGAAATCCTAGAACTAATTTGGCCTAACATTCTTTTTTAGATTAGATGAAATGAAAGCTCACAGGGGCCTGAAGTGACTTGTCCCCACACTATATCCAGTTAGCATAAGAGCAAGGATGTTTTTTGAGTGACACAGCCATGTTGTCCCCTTGATTATGACCTTTGTTTATTCCTTCTTTGTTTTTCTGCCAGGGGCTTGGACGGTGTGGACAAGTGTACCCATTTCCTTCTTCTGGCCAGGTATGATGGAGCTTTGGACCATTCATCAGTTGTCAGGGACATTTGGACGAAACCCTCTAAAGGTAAGGGAGACAGATACAATTTTTCAACCAGTTTGATGGGTAGACTCAGCTGGCAGTTCAGCTCCCTCTCCTGAGACCAACAACAAGGAATACCTCCACGGGAAGAGCACGAGTCGTCTCTGAGGAATGAGGACTATGTGGTTAGTGCCAAGCAGACTGGGAAGTAGGTGCCTGCATGGACCCCAAATAAGCGGGACAACTTAGTGCTCAGATAGAAAATCCCCAAGAACAGGTGACCAGGAAAATTCCTGCTATTAACAGTGGTCCCAGAGGGAGGACTGGGAGGGACCACTTAGCCAGTGAAGCTGCTTTGATATCAGAAATGAGATAGAACGATGGCATTCGCCCACTCTCTGCCTTTGGTTGGGATGACACCAACACTTGGAGATGGCCTGAGAAGATGAATATTTCATAGACAAACCTGTTCCCAGTCCAGAGTTCACTGAGTGTAGTCAAGGCCAACAAGCAGATTTTGCACCTAAGCCAAGTCAAATTGATTCATGGTGACTGCAGAAGCACTGTGTTCAACGGGAATTTGAGCCTGGATCTGAGGCAGAAATGTGTGCTCTGATCAGCCAGCAATGTCTCTGTCAATGTTTGGGAAAAAATTTGAGAAGGAGGTTTGACTATTGGGTAAGCACAATAATAGTTCTTCAAAGATGCCCGTGTGCTAATTTCTGGAATCTGCAAATATGTTATGCTATATGGTAATGTACATTCGTACGTGTGTGTGTGTGTGTGTGTGTGTGTGTGTGTGTGGTGAGGAGGGATTAAGAATGCAGGTGGAATTCAGGCTGCCAATCAGCTACCGTTTTCATGGGAAGATTACCCAGATTATCTCATGGGCCCAATGCGATCACAGGGATCCTTGCAAATAAAACAAGGAGACTAGAGAATCAGAGTCAGTGACATTGCACAGGACCTTGAAGATGGAAGGGCCCTATTGACCTTGAAGATGGAAGGGCCCATGAGCCAGTGAACATGGGCAGCTTCTGGCAGCTAGAAAAGGCAAGGGAACAGATTCTTACCTTGAATTTGGCCCTGCCCACAACGTGAGTTTAGACCTGTGAGAACCAGAAAATGACGGGGACCTCCCAAACTGTAAGATATTGGATTGTTTTGTTTTAAGCCACTAGATTTGTGGTGGCAACAATAGAAAATGAATTCAGGTCTCTATTATTTCCCAGCTAGGACTCATCAGAGAAACTCCCCTTATGTTTCACCTCAAGTTCTTGTTCGTTACTCAAACTTTTTCTGTAGAACAGGATCATTTAAGGTCCTTAGGTCACCAGCAGGAACCTTTAAAAGGGAAGACACAGATTTGCAATTTTCCTGCAGGCTTGAAGTGGGTGGGTGAGGGAGAGTGTCCTGGAGGGGCAGGTTCCTGGTTGAGTGGCAGACTCCAGGCAGTCACTGCCACACCTTGCAGCACATCACTGGGGACAGAAGGTTCTATGGGGACTCTCATCCTTGGTCCTGTTTTCCTGTGCACGAGATGAACCTTGAATGACTTCAGGAGGTCTCTTTGGTCTTCTATAGTTTTAGTACCTGAGAAATGATGTTGGAGAAACTAAAAGTAATGGAATGTCTTCTGAATACCAAACATTTCTGTTACATGATCTCATTCATTCCTTACAGCAGTTCTGTGAGGCAGTCATGCCAGGTGGGCACCCAGTTCACAGATGAGAACATAAAGGCTCAGAAAGGTGAAGTAGTTTTCTTACTCATTCAGCTAACAAGCTGAGGAGGCACAAATCTAATCTGAATGTTGGAAGCCCATGCTTTTTCCCATGTCATCACGGCACCTCCTAAGAAGGACTCTGGCTCTCGATTGTGCTGAGGACATAGTTCATATGGCCAAAGCCTCAGGCTGAGCTCGGCAGTGATGCTCTGTGGTGAAGGTCTTTGGCATGCCAGGCGCCCAGGGGTAAAACTTGGGGTAACAAGAGTAATTCTGTTATAACATAATGATCTGTGATTTGGTTTGTTTCCCTGACTTGCTAAAAAAAAAAAAACCCGGCTGCATGATCTTGTATAAGTCAGTTTCTTTCTCTGGATATCAGTTTCCTAGCCTGTGAAATGGGAAGATGGATGAGAATCAGTATTCTCTAAACATTTTTTTAAAGAGTTCATGCTATATAAGCTAAGGAGATTTTGTAAAGCTTTATTTACTGCAATTGATAGTCCAAAAGCAATATGTTATTTTTAATTTTCTAAAGTAAGTCAACTCTACATTTCTCTCTACTTCCACCCTCTTTTTCTGGGCAATATACTCATTCACCATCCTATCATCTTGACAACCATTGAGAATCCTTCTGCTTGATAGTTTAAAAATTTGCTCTGGTTATGAGATTATTGGAGTCTAAGAAATATATATGTGTGCATATAGTTATACATACGTGTGTATCTATATACATGTGTATACACACGTGTGTTTTAGTCAGCTTTTTCACTGCTGTAACTAAAAGATCTGATGAGAAGAATTTTAGGGAGGAAAAGTTTATTTGGGGACTCATGGTTTCAGAGATCTCAGTCCACAGCCAGCCAGCTCCATTCCTTAGGGCTCGAGGTGAGGGAGGTCATCCTGGCAGAAGAGTGTGGCAGAGGGAAGCAGCTCACATGATGATCAGAAAGCAGAGAGTCCACTTGCCAGGTACAAAATATATACTCCAAAGCCACGCCCTCAATGACCAATCCCTTCCAGCCACACCCTACCCATCTTTAGTTACCACTCAGTTAATCCCCATCAGAGGATTAATTCACGGATTGGGGTAAGGTTTTCCCAATCCAATCATTTCTCCTGTAAACCTTCTTGCATTGTCTTACATATGAGCTTTTGTCTTACATGTGAGATATGACATCTCACATCCAAACTATAATGTGTGTGTGTTTGTGTGTGTGTGTGTGTGTGTGTGTGTGTGTACACATATTCTGCAAGAGAGGAGAAAAGACAACCCTTCTGTCTTGCCCATTTCTCTTTCTGGAAATTCTCAGCCCCCACCTTTTTTTTTTCTTTTTTTTGGCCTGGAACATTTATCTCCCTGTGTCCCCTTCTAGGGTGCCCCTTCTAGGGTGTCTGTGAGGTAGCAGGAAGGTGGCTTTTCTGTTTGAGAGGGTCATCTCTGGGTGAGATTTGTGAGAGTGGTTAGCTTTTATTTCCAGCATGTGCCACAACACAAGAATGATCCCAACTTCCGAGATGATCACCTCCCATCTTTTATTCTTGCTTTTCTCCTCTCCTTTTTCTTCCCGTAAGATAATAGAATTACCAGAAAAGCCTTCCTTACTCCTGGCCTGGTCAGAGCTTAGAGGTATTTACTTCTCGGGTAAACAGCTATAATCTCCCTAACTAGACTTTGTCACAGTTAAGAGAGTTAAATTCTCCTGGTATAATCCCCCATGTGTTGTGGTTTTTTTTTTTTTTGAGTATAAAGCTTTTGACATCTTTTGATATCAAATAACAACAGTGCTGGGCCACTGGATATCATTAGGCATTAGGCAAAGAGGTTTGGTTTGACCAGACTGGAAAAGAAGGGCCTCTCTGCAAAATAGCTTTGGGTCAGGGTTGGGGGTGGGGGAAACATGGAAAAGAATCTTTGCTTATGAGAAAGAAGGAGGAGGGACTTGTGGCTGTTTCACAGGGCCGGGGGGACTCTCTCCAGTCATGCAAGTTCCTCTGTGGCCAGTCAGGAGAACAGGGTTCAAAATCGAGTCAGCCCATGCCCATGCCCTTCTGTGTTTTCCCTAACCACGTGCTGGACACAGAGGCCAACACAGGGGGAGAAAATGGCCACATTCTTGAACTCAGGGGGTGAGCCATTTTAAGAAACAAGGTGTACTTGAACCTCTAGGAACAATACAAGGGCCAATTAGGATCAAAGGCTAAATCTCATTTGGCTCAGATTATTGAAAATTCTGGGGCGTGGGGAAGAGCCATAAATGGTTAGAAGATGGGAGATCAATATTGTTGGACAGGAAGGTGTCTTCAAGGCTAGAGCCGGCCTTGAAGGTGGGATAGGGGTGTGTGTGTGTGTGTGTGTGTGTGTGTGTGATGACCGTGGTGACAGTAGAGGTGGCAAAGTGACACTGCAAATGTGGAAGTCAGCAGAAGCAAAGGCTGGGAGTAGGAGCGAGCCTGGTGTGGGTGGCGTCCAGCAGGAGACAGCCTGGAACTGCCAGTTCTTCCAGCCCAGGAGCGGCGGTGGGTGCTCCGAGAGCGAGCGCCCGAGCCAGGCTCGCAAGTGCTTCTTGTTTCTATGTATATACATGCCGTGCGTTGGCTTTTCTTTCTTGTCGACCTTCCAGTCACTCCTAAATTCGGTTCCCGTTCTCTGCCTCTCCCTGCCTGCCAGTGCCACCCATGCTCTCAGCCAAGCGGTGACATTTTCCCCAAGCACAGCCTGTGCGGTTTGAAAGCCTAAGATGAGCTTTGGGGTTTGACTCCTCCTGCCACCCTCCCTTGGAGTCTGTGCCTGTGTGAGAGTGGGGGGCCCTGAATCCCCATTAAAAAGAAAAAAAGAAAAAAAAAGAGTCAATTGCCAGGATCTTGGGCTGATAAGTCATTCACAGAGCCCAGTGGCCCAACTGTCCCCACTGCTGGCTGCACTTGAGGCAGATCCAGCATGGGGTGGGTTGTCTCCCTCTGAGAGCATCTCCATGGAGTGCTGTGGGGCGGGGGAGTTCTCCAGATCATGGCCCTGCTTGAAGGAAGCAGGCCTGAGGCTCCTCTCCTCTCTCTTGCTCTCCCTGAGCAGCGTCCCCCTGCCGAGGCTGCATTTCCACACTCTTGCATTTTCCTCTTCCCTCTCCCAGCATCCACCCAGGCTGATTCTGCTGTGCAGAGGGACAGGGAATGGCTACCCAGCCCCAGTGAGCCAGGAACTCGCTTCCAAGGGTCAGATGCCCTGTGCCAGCTGCAGGAAGGTCTCCAGGCCTGTGTGGAGCCGGGGGTCTTCTTGCCACACTTGGCTCCTGTCCCTGAACATGTTGCTTGCAGTTCC